CCTGCTCCTGCCACTACGACTACGACGACGGCGGCGACGACTACTACTACTACTTCTGCTGCTGCTGCTACTGTAATACACTACTACTACTACTACTACTACTACTACTACTACTACTACTACTACTCCTACGCCTACTCCTACTCCTACTACGACTACTACTTCTGCTACTTCGACTATTACTACTGCTACTACTGCTGTCATTCCTTTTTGCCACGGGCCTGTGCTGCTTCTTCTGATTTCTACTGTTCCTGCTCGTTTTCTTCTCATTGTTTTCATGCTTACTACCAATACTGCAACCAGTGTTGCCAGCGCTACTTGTACTGGTGTCGTGGTGGTTCCGTTCACTACTCCTGGTAGTGGCCGACTTCCATGCGGCTGTTGACAACCATGGCTTCGTCTTGTTCTCAGTTTCAGGACAGATTCCCTTCGCTGGTACGCGCCACTTGTCGCCCAATCAATGCTGCGGCGCAGGGGATGCCAGTCGTGGTTTTTGAAGCCTTTACATTGTGGCTTTCTGAAATTAAACCTCTCCAGCTCTGAATTGGGCGTCGAGGGTTGAAGATATAGGAGTTGGCTTCCAGGGCGGAGGGTCGTGGAGGCTTCGATGTGGCTTTTCAAGGCAACCCCTCCGAATGACACAAGCATCGGCTTGTTTCGGTCTATCTTAAGCCTGAGAGTGCGCACCACCTGCGAGGTCAGGGAAAATCGATGGATGCTGAGTGCACGCCGCAATTAGTTCGGCTAGACTGTTGGCATGCACACTGCCAGCAGAAACAGTGGCGCTCGCTGCTCTCTCGCAGCGAGCCTCTCAGCCTCGAGGTCAGCCGTCGAGTGTTCAGATGTATTGCAGCCTGAAAGGGGCAAAGTTGCTAGATGAGTAGCTTGTTTAGATGTTCCGATATCTGCCATAGCTGGTATGATCATGGTCTATTCCCACAATGATTAGAAGTATATACTTGATAGCCAAATGAATATGCAAGATTTCCGCAGAATCAATGACCTTGAGGCGCCCCTATCACCCGGCCAACGCTCTTGCCGACGAGCGTGGAGGGCCTGCAACCCTCAGCCTCACAGCCCTCAATGCGACACCTCGCAGCCAACCCCTAACACCTAAACCCCTAAACCCCTAAACCCTAAACCCCTAAACCCAAAAATCCCAAAACAAACCTGAACCCCTAAACCCAAAACTCCCAAAACAAACCTAAACCCCTAAACCCCTGAAGCCTGCTTCCGCAAGAGCCCTCCAATGCTGCGGCATTGACAGACATCCCGAGGTCGAAGGCGGGGCGCTCGGGAAGGGAGATCTGTGGGAGCTCAAACCGCTTTAGGGTTTAGGGTTTAGGGTTTAGGGTTTAGGGCTTAGGGTTTAGGGTTTAGGGCTTAGGGTTTAGGGTTTAGGGTTTACCTAGTTTCGTGAGCAGCAGGCTCGCAATGGAAAAGTTAGAGAGGGGTGCTATGGGGTGCTGCTAAGGCTGCTAAGAGTTGAGGGCTTATGGTTCTTAGTGCATCTGCGGTTTCATCGAGATGCCCCGGCTGCGACGCCGTCGTTGGTACCAACGGATCAGACTTCAAGTTTAGGTTGAACCTCGCGCCTACTGAAGGCGGTTGGTTCCTTTGGCATCCTTCCACTGAAAGTGCTCCCAAATTTCCTGGCAACGCTGCCTTCCTCCCGTTTGTTCAGGCAGGCGAAAGTGGAAGCCAATCGTGTGAATCCGATCAAACACTAGCGATTCCCCTTGTAGTCCATGTGCACATATGGTATGTACATGTCTGTATATGTAAATTACGTAGGTGAATGTATATACATATGCACATGCTTATGCAAATGCAAATGCAAATGCATATCTATACGTATATGCATATGGCACGCACTCGTTTCTATGTACATGAACATATGTATACATGCATCACACATACATCTATTTATATATACATTCATACATACATATATACATATATGTATATGTATATACACACATACACAAACATGTGAGTGTGTGTGTGTGTGTGTATGTGTGTGCGCGTGCGTCTCTCTCTCTCTCTCTTTCTGTGTCTGGACATGTGTATGTACATGTATATGCCACACAGTGTCACACACACACACAGCTTTGTTAATGTAGTCTGACTATACAGAATTTGTATGGTGTCTCCTCAGCATCTGTAGAACCTCGAAACGTAGAAATGCCGTAAACTCGGCTCCAATGCCAAGTAGGGTTTTCGGATATTTTCGGTCTAAGACTGAGGATTTCGCACTAACTTACGTTGGGCATCTGATAAAGTAGGATTAGACGTGAACCAATTTGGGTATGCTGCAAAGGGGGTACTCACACGTGTAGTTTGTAGAGTCGCATCCATTTCGGGTCCCAGCAGTGGCAGGAGCAGCAGCATGCAGCAAGCACGTAGCAGTACACACAATTACATAAACACAGTAGCTGCAGTGGCAGTAGGGGTACCAACAAGACTAGGAGTGGGCATAATTAGGTCAAGGAGTAGGGCCCTTATCGCGGGCGCGGCGCTGCGGTATGTGGCGCTGCTTACCGTAGTCGTCGATGTTGCTGTTGCTGCTGCTGGCGATGGTTTGAACTGTAAGCAGCTGCCAGAGCTCGGCCCCTTTCCGTCCCTACCCCCTGGTTAAACACTGCACGCTCAAATCCTAAAGTCCCAGAGCTCCAAACGCCATGGTCGGTTTCCACTTCCGCGCCTCACGTTTCACGCAGAGTCTCTCCCCACAACAGACCTTCGAGTTCGGTGTCCTGTGCAGAGGGCCTCTAGGGGCCAAGTAGCTTTGTTGGAGATAGAATACTTTGGTGTTGAGTGCTTTTGGGAGGGGTCATACGGGGTTTTGTCGGGTGTTCCTCAGAGTGTCTTGGGAGTGGGGGTGAACCGTTGTGTGGAGGGCGCGCAACGGGGCACGTCTGCTCGAGATTTTATGCCGATGAAGGTAGGTTGAAGATCTTGGGATGTTTAGGGTTTAGGATTTAGGTTGGCCTTCAATACCTATAGGCCTTAAACCGCAGGATTCGATGCCAGCTTTTGTTGCTGTAAGTGCCTCGCCCCAGCAGGGTCGGTGTTCATTGAAGCATTTGTGCCTGACCTGCCCAGGCAGAGCTAGCACCAAGGGCTCGCAGAAACCTAGAGTACAGATGTCGCAAACCCTAAACCCCCCAAACCGACCTAGGATGCGAGCCGGCGTCCAGCAGGGTTTCTGGTGTATGGTTAGAGGTTGTCTTTTCGCAAATCAACGGACACCGAATTTTCAGTTTGAATGAGCCTCCAAAGCCAACTCTGGGATGTGGCTGCGGCAGCCCAGAGGCGCGAACCTGCGGCCCCCCCTCAGAGCAGTACCTGGAAAGGTGTGGCTGCAGTTCATGCGTAGCTGCAGACGGCCATGCGGCCTGTTGCTACGTATAGGATAGTTTACTTGCCGCAACTGTCATCGGGACAGCGACAGTGTCACCTAGCTATCTCCGTGCTGCGAGGTTGGAGTCATGATCCGTCTTGGAAGCAGGCCGTCAGCCGAGCAGCAGCGATGATCTTCCCGAGTTATCCGTTTCGTTCCCTGAGACGGTCTGTGATGCATCTGCAGACGCCAAGATTAAATCTGTAGCCCCGAGCCTGAACCCAACGAGCCCGGACCAACAATTCAATAACCAAGTAAACACAAGAACCCCATAAACTGCAAACTCTAGCTCCTCAACCCCAAAGCCCAAACTCAAGATCTTACTTCCCGAACATCGGCCTTTGTGGCACAGGCCGTTTGCTGTCCCGGCAGTAGGCTTCGGAGCTCAGTTGCGGGGAGTACTCAAAAAGATTTGTTCAGGATTTTTCAGGGTTCAGGACGGTTATCATGGTGGTGGTGTTGGTGGTGTTGGTGGTGCTGGCGGTGGAAAGCCGGGTGGCGATACTGGTGTAGTAGTAGTAGTAGTAGTAGTAGTAGTAGTAGTAGTAGTAGTAGGAGTAGTAGTAGTAGTAGTAGTAGTAGTAGTAGTAGTCGCAGCAGCAGCAGCAGCAGCAGCAGCTGCTGCAAGAAGAGCAAGAACAGCAGTAAGAGCAGTAAGAGCAGTAAGAGCAGTAAGTAGCAGTAACAGTAGTAGTTTTTTAGTAGTGGGTAGTGGAGTGTGGGGTAGGGGTTAATGAGTGGGTAGGGGTAGTGGAGTAGGTAGTGCATCGTGGGCGGTGGGTGGTGGTAGTGGTGGCAGGAGTAGTAATCGTCGGGCGTGGTGGTGGTAGTAGCAGTAGCGGGCGGCTTTCCAGAGCCGTCTAGGGTGGGGGGGTTGAGGGTTTGGGCTTTTGTCTTGCACCCGGCCGATCAATCCTTCCCTCAAGGACACCGCGGCAGGTGATCGAATCTACTTCTGTCTTCAAGGTAGCACCGGTCCAAAGCTGAGCGTGGAACCTGCAACCTTGAACCCGGGCTCCTAAAGCCAACGCCCGAAACTCAACCTCAAGACCTCGATCCCGAGATCCCAAGCCCACGCTCCCAAAACCTGAACCCCCCACCCCTCCAGCCAAGAAGTTCAAAATAGCAGCACTCGCACTAGTCATCCGAAGGCCGAAACATCCCAAAGAGCCTAAGCTGGAGTCGAAGTATTGGTAGCCCCCACTCCATTGATGGGCTGCTGTGGCCCAGCTCTTCCGTCATGGGGGCGCTGAGCCCAGAAGGGATTTGGGGGTTAAGTTTAGGGTAAATTTGACACCCAACCTATCCAAACCCTCAGCACTTCTAGCCGGCAATCCTGAGCTCAACTCATTTTCTTAAATCAGTGCTCGAAATCCAAGATGCCTCCCTCAACTCCAAACTGTCCCTAAACCCAGAAGGCCCTTCTCGGGCTGCAAGAGATTCAACAAGGCTATGGATGCTTTGGCTTAGGGCTCGCAGCCTTGCGCTATGTTAACTCCTATAGGAAACCCAAACCCTTATAGTAACCCTGGTACAAAGAACCCCATAGTATCCTTTAAAGGGAACCCTGAACTAAACCCTTGATACAAAGAGCCTTATAGTATCCTTTTAAGGGGGAGCCCTAAGACCCCGAACGTGAAGATGCCACGAGACCCCAAACTTCAAGGCTTGGTTCCAGAGACTTGCCCCCAACCCCCCCCACAAGAAAGGGATTTTGTGGCCGTTTAGGGTTTAGGGTTTATGGTTTTCGAGTCCGGGTTTGCAAATTTTTCGGAAATCCGGAGGTGGTTGCAATGGTCCGGGTGGGGCTGAACTCTCAATGCCAAGCTGAAGTCCCAGGTCTTGTGCGCCCTAAAGCTTAGATCATGAACCCCAAGCCTGAAATCACCCTAAACCCTAAACCCTAGACACTAAACCCTGGAGCTATCTGGAGCCCAAAACATTTTAAGCCCCAATTCATCGTAGAGGCCACTGGAAGGCGTTAAGTTTCAACTGCAGTCTGATTTCGCTGTGCAGCTGGTCTAATGTAGGAACCTGATTAAGAAACCCTGGCCCTATAACCCCAATATGTTAAGGTTCATATTAAGAACCCTAATAAAGAGCCAGGGTTTCTTAATCAGGTTCCTACCTCACGATTCAAGGCTTGTGGGTGCCGCCGTCGAGCCCGAAGAATCAACATCGAGGCCCTTCAACAATAAACCCTAAACTTAAAGCCTAAACCCTAAACCCTAAACTTAAACCGTAGTCAGGCTGTGCAAATGCCGTATGAGCATGGACACACCTGAGACCCACCCTGAAACCCTAAACTTTGAAGCCTAAGTCTTCAAGTCTGGCCCTGGATACACCCACACCTCTACGCAGACCCAAAGCCTTACATAAACTGTCAGGGATTGCGTTTGGAAATTTTGGGTTTGGGGTTTAGGGTTTTTTTGGGATGCCGCGCCGAGGCGAGCTGTAGCTGCGACAAAGCGCCCGCGGAGTCCTGCTGCCGGGTTTTTCGCACAGCACAGTGGTGCTTTTCATAAGATAGCAGCTTAGGGCTTTTGAAGCTTTAGGTAACAGCTCGAATCACCGTTTTTACACGGATGTCAAGTAACAGCTCGAATCACCGTTTTTACACGGATGTCAAGGATGGTGGACCTCGCACCTGCGATGTGGTGTAGTGGGGTAAGGCCTGGCCACGATCAAAATCTACTGGACTGCTCAAAGGTTTGTCGCAACATTAGGAACCCTGCCTGAGCCCCTACTCCTCCTACTACTCCTACTCCTACTCCTACTCGTACTCCACTACTACTACTACTACTACTACTACTACTACTACTACTCCTACTCCTACTCCTACTCCTACTCACTACTACTACTACTACTACTACTACTACTACTGCTCCTAAAGAGATCGACGGTGCTCTGCTCCCACCGGCCAGGAAGGTCGTGGTGCAGGCTGGACAGCAGATGCCGAGTTGCTGCACCGTGACAAGTGCCAACGAGGACCTTCTCGTCGTTCTCGTTCTCGCTTGCTCGTGTTACTGTTGTTGTTGTTGTTGTTGTTGTTGTTGTTGTTGTTGGCCTGAACTTGTGAGGCCTGTAACTGCGGTTGCTTTTATCCTGATGTTCGTCTTCAATCATTCTACGTCGCATTTCTTCAATGAGTTTGCGGAACGCAAATGGATGCAGGTCCGTGCCGTCTTGCAGCGATTGCTCAAAGAGGCTAGTCGCATTGATGGGATCGTCGTCTGCCCCGGGAGAGTGGAAGCCGGCTCCTGCAAAGCAGCGGTACACCCAGCAACACGTAAAGATGCGTGAAGCAAAACCTACCAAGTTGTCCAGTTCCTCCAGCCCCAGCTCAAGTTCACGCCAAAGACCCAGGCAAGCACACAGGACCAGTAACTCGAGATGTCGTTCCCGGTCCGCGCGCCCGTGCGGAGGCGTGATGTGGATTTCGACGTGGGCGTTCTCCTGGGCCGTGGGACCTTCACCTCCGTCTACCAGGCGGTAGAGAAGGCAACTGGTAAACGTTGTGCTATGAAGATCGTTGACAGATACCGATGCGAGCGTCTGAAGAAGACGGCGGACGTCTTCATGGAGAAGCATTGCCTTCTGCGGACGAACCACCCGAACATCGTCAAGATGCTCGGATGGTTCTCGGACAACACTTGCATCTACGTGTCTAGGTAGGCCATTGGGACACGTTAGATGTTTCCTGTATTGGGTCCCTAAACCGCGAAATCCCTAAACCCCAAAGGCCCTAAACCGCTGAACCCTGAACCGTACAAGCCCCAAACCCCAAACCCTACAAACCCCGAGCCCTAAGCTTTCAAAGGCCAAGCTAGTTGGGTCGTTCTCCAAATCACTCGTACGGTCCCTTCTTAGGTCCCCAACAAAGGACGGCACCCTTATAACAAGGACCCTGGAAGGGACTACCCCCCGAAGAAACCCTTGTGGATCCCATTTAAGGAACCCCCTAAACCCTAAACCCTAAACCCTAAACCCTAAACCCTAAACCCTAAACCGAACCCCTAAAAGGAGGGGCCCTCAACATTCAGAGGGCTTCCCAGGTGATGCTCGAGGAGTGCCTGGGCGGAGAGCTCTGGGAGGTGATCAAAACGGTGGGCTGCCCCATCCCCCAGGCCCGGCACTGCCTGAAGCAGGTGCCGGCGGGGGCGGGGGGTTCGGGGGGTTCGGGGGTTTCGGCGGTGTTTAGGGTTCAGGGTTTAGGGGTGGGTTTCGGAGTTTGGGGGGTTGTAGGGGGTTTAGGCCGGGTTTAGGGGGTTTAGGGGGTTTTAGATCAAGCGAAATGTGGCTTGCGTGATTCTGATATTTTAGATCTGGGTATGTTGCCTGTAGTGTTAGTATTCGTAGTTATTATTATCAGTATTGGTATTGGTGTTGGTATTGGAAATAAAAGTCCTAAACCCGAATCAAACCATTTCGATGCTCTTGGTTTCGACCAGCCTCAGGTCGTAAACGCGGTGGAGTACCTTCGCCAGGCCCGTATCGTCCACAGAGACATCAAGGCAGAGAACATCATGCTGACAGATCTGGCAACGGTGAAGCTGATCGATTTCGGCACGGCCAAGGACCTTGAGAATCCCCAGATCAAAGGATCGGGGAATGCCTCCAGGCATAAGGTCTTTGAGGACTATGTGGGAACCCCCCAGTTCATGCCCAAGGAGGTCATTGAGAACAAGTGCAGCGACCAGCGCTCCGACATCTGGTCCTTGGGCTGCACGATCTTTCAGGTCCTCAGCGGTTGCCCACCCTTCCACGATCGCTCCGAGTACCTGATCTTTCAGCGAGTACTGGCCCGAGATCTTCAGTTCCCGCCTGGCATCGACGCCACAGCGAGGGACCTCATCGAGCGCATGGTCGTGCAGGACCCCGATGCCCGGCTGGGGGCCTTGGATTTGGAGGATCTCAAAGCCCATCCCTTCTTTGATGGGGCTTTCGAAAGGGCGCACTTGTTGCCGGTGCCAGTGCCCTCCCTGGCGGCACTCTGCTACCAGCGCCTCGGCAGTCGTCTGGAGGAGTTCCTGGAGCCGCTCGCCGCCTGGGAGGGCGCCGCGCAGCTGGCACCGGCCGTGCGGGAGCAGCTGGAGCGCATGAAGGTCGCCCACCGCTGGCAGGAGGAGGTGCTCCCGCCCCCGGACGAATTCTGACGCGGCGTGCGTGAAAGGGCCTGGCAGCAGACCTTCGAGAGTAATGAGTAATCATGCTAATTATCGAAGTGCCGTGTACTAGTTCAGAGCCTGCGGCAGGGAGCCAACCAGCGAAGCCGACTATCAAACCACCCGGAGAGACTCACCCACTGCTCATATTCCAGGCCCAACTCTTAACGTTAAATGCCTACTGAGCCAAACAGAAGCAGACACTTCGTCATTCGCAAGCACTTCCGCAAGAGGTTAACTTGCGGATTTCATGGCAGTTCGATTGCAGTGTAACTCGAAGCTCCATATGCAGAAAGAGAGACACAGAGAGCGCGAGAGGCCCGAGAAGTTTCAAAAGCCTATCGGTTCAGCTTTGTTGTTGAAAGGGTTTATGTAGGGAGCAAGAGGAGTAGTTAGTCGTAGCAGCAGTCGTTGTCGGAGTAGTAGCAGCAGCAGCAGCAGCGCAGTAGTAGTAGTAGTAGTAGTAGTAGTAGTAGCAGGAGTAGTAGTAGTAGTAGTAGTAGTAGTAGAAGTAGTAGTAGAGCAAGCAGGCACCAGCACGCCCCAAGACGACAACCCAAGAAAGACTTGCAACACT